AACTGAATAGGACTGATTTTAGTCTAATTGCAAAGATCGCTTACAAACTGTTTGTAAAACTGCCGCATCGATCATTATTATAGACTCGTTTTTCCCAGTTTGAATAGATCGTATAAATCGTTAAAAATGCTCCACGTACATAGAGAATACATGCGTATGAAGTAACAGCTAACGAACTAACGAAAAATCTTACGAGCTGTAAATGAGTGAGGAAAACACGATGCGTTCGTATGTAAATATATATTTTTACATGTAGTCATGCAACTCCAATATAGATATTTAATTGTATATCTGGCGTGAAACCATTATACTCCAATGCATCGAATGCAAAATTTCGTATATTATGCATGGCGCTGCTTCACCAAAAATTCTCTCATTGTATAACATATTATATACAATTCATATATTGGTGCTGGCGACAATTATACGCAAACGCAATGATAAAAAATTCCACGAAAAAAGTTAACAAAAAATGCGAGAGTGAAAAAAAAAGAAGAAAAAAAAATACGCGTACTCGTGTGTACCTGCGGCAAATATTAAGTGGCGATTCGCTAATTGCACGCGCGTGCTATGCAGCTAGTGCGGTGCATCGCGCGAGTAGTGACCTTTTTTTTTCATCTACGAGGTGTTTTCGCCTCTATGCGTTGAATCAACAAATTCTAGCGTTAAAAAAGAGTACTTCGAATGGAAAATATAATTTGACTATTTTAAAAAAACACCGTTCAACCGACTCGTATATATCCCAATTTATATCAATGAGAACATTCAAAATCTGTCGTCTTGCCTTCTTTCTCTCTCGTGCATGAAATACGAGAAGGTATAAAAAGACGTCGTTGAATTTTACTCGACGCAGCGACAAGTGCGTATGAAAAAAGATCAAGTGACTATTTATGTATATAAATCGTGGGGCGGTTCCTCTCTCTCTCTCTCTTGTCAAGAAATCGCAGCGAAAGATTTTTCAGCCAATACTTTCGAGTGGTGGCCATGTGCAGCAGCAGCAGCGAATCCGAGAGAGAACTAGGGGTGCAAAAAATCAAGGGTGCAATTAATTAAAACGAAAGGATGCCATTTGTATAACGAATGTATACACATCGTCGGCTACGCCGCACTGCACGTGTCTGCGATATATATTTATGTATATTTTTATATTTGTATATGCGAGCTTGTGCCATTCACCATCTGCTGCAGGCTGCAACTTTTTCGCCATCTCGAGTTTTCTTTTAACTCCGGTCTCGTTCGGGGATATTTTTCATTTATTTTTATTTCAATAGATGAGCAACGACGCAGAGAGAGAGAGTGAATATGAAGGAAGAAATATGTCGCTCGGACGAAGGGGTATAGAAAAAGTGTGCTTTTTTCGATTATTTTTCACGTCGACGAGATCCTAGTATCGTTACATTTTTACGAAAAATATAATGTCGCGAAAATTGAATATGTTTCGGGTTCTTTGCGCGTCGCCGCCACCGCTGCTGCTGCTGCTGCTCGTCGTCGCAGTCTTTGTGCGTGTATGATAAATTTTCTCTCTTGTAAAACAGTTCTCCCCCGCGCGTTTTTTTTTTCAAAGAACTCCATTAAGCGTGTGCCGCATAGCGCGCGAGCGCATATTGGCATATGACCGAAAAAAAGCATCAAAGAAACATCCATCTCCATACACTATCTACCTCGATCGAAAAAGTCGTCGCGCGCGCGTGCATCGGCGGCAGTACAAGCACTTAACGCAAACCACCCACGGCCCCGCTGGTATGATGTGTATATACATTTTCTGATACCTCCTTCATCTCTCTCATAAATATTCATCATTTTGCACGGAGCTCCGCATCCACATCTATATAATAATGTATATGTATAGAGGCACCGACGCCGGGAGAGAGAGAGAGAGAGAGCTGTCTCTACGTCAAAAAAGCTTCGCTAAAATGTTCTCGTCGGCTGGCTGGAGCGCGTTTCATGTACGCTTGCACAAAACGAAGTTTCTCTCTCACTCGCGCGCTTGCTCGCGTTGCTTCTCATGCGTCATCTCGTTAATTAGGCGCGCTCGCGCGGGTGGAGGAGGAGGAGGATGAGGTAGATGCGCGAGGGGTTCATCGTGTGCCAGAGTACGGCACAGCACAGCCTGGGCTAAATGCACGAGCATATTTCGTTTTCCTTTGCTATAGATATCACGCACGCATAAACGCGCTGTACGTATAAGCTAGAGAAAATGGTCGAACGTGTGCGCATATACGCGAGAGATGATTCCATCTCGCTCGAGATAGAGCGAGAGAGAGAGAGAGAGAGCTGATTTCGCTATGCCATATAGTACGTGTTTATAGTCGCGCAGCCATCTTGAACTCGCGTCGCGCGCGCGTCGCCCCTTCGTCGTCGTCGTCGTCGTCGTCGTGTGACACGTATAGCCTCGAGGGGGTTGAAGCTCTGATGCTGTTGTCGTCGTCATGGCGACCCTGCGACTCCCCCCCTGCGGCTCCCTACCCTCCCGCCCCACTTGTGTGTGTATGTATATAGCAGGGTGTACGTAGACAGGGAGAGAGGACTACGACGACGACAACTCGGCATGTACCGTATATGGTACAACCCCACCAAAGCCACCCCTTCTCGGATTTAGATACTATATACTCGGGCGCGCGAGCACAACTTTTTTGTCGCAGTTCTCTCGTCCCTCCTCGTATACGTGTGTATGTGTGTGCGTAGCAGCAGCAGCAGCAGCAGCAGCGGGAGTAGAGCGCGTTAATGAGGCTCTGGGTGCGATACTTGAAGCTGCAGAGAGAGAGAGAGAGAAAGCACAGAGATAGATATATGTACTCCGCATGGCATGTTATATATATTGTAGAGGGAGAGAAAGAGAGCGAGAAGAGGGTGAGAGGGAACGATAGAGATATATATACAGCAGTTGTAGGTATTTTAGCTCTCAAGAGAGCTAGCGAGAGACAGTGACGTTGCTTCTACTACTGCTGCTGCTGCTGCTGCTGCTGCTGCTACTCTCGGGTTTCGCTACGATGACGATGTTTCTTCTCTTTGTAGATATGAGCGGATAGGAGAACGAGAGAGGATGGGACTTTGCACTGTGTAGAGTTCTTCTTTCTTTCTTTGCGCCCGTCCCCGTGGAGGAAGTTTCGAGTCTTTTTCTTCTTCCTTTTTTTTTTTATTTCGCTACTGTTGCGCTGCTACTGCCACTCTCGTGAGAGAGAGAGAGAGAGAGGAATAGAACGAAACAGAGTATCTTTGCTTTAGCTCTTGCTATCTGTTTTTTAGCTCGTTTACTACCCAGCCAGGAGTTTTCTCTTTCTTTCTTTCTTTCTATTTTTTTTTTCACCTACGTGTATATGGTACGCTGCTGCTGCTGCTGTTCTCGTAGCTAGAACTTTTTTGTAGTAGTAGCATCCGCAGCTGCAGCAATGGCAGCAGCAGCAGTAGTAGTAGCGAGTTTTATCTTTCGCTCGTTTGTTTGTTTTCGGGAGGATTTTCACGGGTATATATATATTTGGAAAAATAAAAGTATAATGTCGGGGGCACACGGCATTGTTGTTCTCGCATATATATACGTACTTCGTCGTGCGCTTTTTTTTATATACTCCCGCGATGTACCTGTGCAACGGCATCACCCACCTTGCATTCAATAACATCAGATATTCTCATTTTTTATTTCATATTTTTTCGACTTTATTCTATTTTTTTTTTATGTGCACATCGAAGACGATCGATAAGAATTCCATACCCACGTAAGGGATGATGTTTTCTGGCAAGGGAGACGAGCGAAGTACGCGAAACATTTTACGAAAGTCGACTCGTATATATTTTTGGCATCTCGAAGCGCGTTTGAAATTTTTCAAGACTCGACGACGGACAAAGCGCGCAGCGAGCCAAAGCTCGCACAAAACAGATAGGCGTGTATGTATGTATGTACGTATAATACTAGTCTACGCATTGATCACGCCCGACGCGAGGCAACAATGGAGCCAAAAACTCGAAAATATTCTGCATCTACCTCGCGCGCGCAACAGCAGCAGGTCCCGAACAATTGAGCCGTCGATTATTGTCGGTCGATGTTGCGTCGCGCACCCATGATTTTGCGCGCATCATAAGTTGCGAATTTCTAGACGCGTAAACAGTCCATATATAGGGGTGTATATTTTGAAATTCCGTTCCGATACATCATTCAATGGTGTGCAATGAGAAAACGAAAAAAAAAAACAACAACAACAAAAACAGCAAAAAACTGCAACGCGGATAAAGCGTAAATACACAGACGCGCGCGAGCGAGCTACCGATCGAAATTCGTACCTTGGCAGTGTAGTGGCATTTTTCAGTTAGCGCTTGTCCGGCTCCGCACGGATCCGCTGCTGCTGCTGCTATATGACCATTTCATTGAGGTGGTGTTATATTCAGTGGCACTGCACGCGCAAAGCGAGCGAGCGCGACTACGCGCCACTACTGTGTATACATAGCCGCGGAGAGAGAGAGAGAGAGAGAAAGAGCGAGTTCGTATTTGTCGGGAAACGCGAAATTTTGCACCTAACGGGCTTTGAGCTTCGTCGGTGTCAGTGAGAGAGAGAGAGAGAGAGAGAGAGAGAAATGAAAACGGCTCGTATGTGTGTATGTATACGTTGTTATATCCACGTACTCGCACACACACAGACACGTGGCGCTCGACAGCTCGATCCAATATTATCACGTTTTGCACTTTTGACCGTCGGCGAAAATTAGCACTGCGCCGAGGCTTTTGATCGAATCCGTAAGTTTGTTTTCGCTGTCATGATATAATCGAGAGAGAGAGAGAGAGAGAGAGAGAGAGAGAGAGAGAGAGAGAGAGAGAGATAGATAGCTATATATGGAATTGCCTCGCGCGCGCACTGCATTGCGTTACTCCGCTACTACATAAATCATTTATTCGCGGCCGAACAAAGGAGCCGTGTTTCGCGGCGTGTACGCGATATCGACGCGAATCGTCGAGTCGACCGAACGTAATAATGTGTGTATAAATTTAGACTGCGTAAGTTGATACTTACCGCCGGATTTTGACGTCTTTTTATCGTCGCCCTGGGGATTTTCTGAAACAAAAATACTCGTTGAAATAAAAAGATAAAATGAAAAATTTGAATAATTGAGTAATTTTGATTTTAATATGTAATACAAAGGATCGAAAACTTTCCGACGAGATTCGGGAAATTGTAATCGATCGCTTTATACGCGCAGTGAAACCTTACGTTAGACCGCCAAGACCTTCGGCAACGAATCCACGCAAAAGTAAGGATTCTATTTATGATATATATAACGTGAGCGAGCATCGCAGGCTCCGTTGCTCTCAATAAAGCCTGTACGTATAATACACGCGGAACAAATCAAACTGTATATTATACAGTTATAAGCTTCATAAAAAGGGGTACGTTAATAAGCATTGTACTTTTTGGACAATTATTATGGGTAGTACAGTCGTGGGCTTCGACGCGGGCTGGGGCTTCCGCGCTCGCGTCTCGACGAGGCCCCCGAGTACGTATCGATACAAACTGCTTTCCTTTTTCCAAAATTGAGCTCTCGGTTTAAATCTGACGGTATAGAGCGTCGTGATTTGCGCGCGAGCATCTCGAGCATTCGCTAATACGAAACATCGGTAATAGAATTGTATTGGTATTGAAATGAGCTTTGACTTATATAATTATTTTGACTCTACTACTTGCAGATTTTACAAGTGAAGGTACTCGCCATCTAGTGGTGGTAGCTTAAGGTGATATTATCGTATTAAAATTGGTTCAAAATTGGTGAAATTTTTGGAACAATTAAATGATCGTTTTCAATTCATTTAAAAGCGCCGATTATTGTTAACCATACTTGTAAGAGAAAAATCGCTAAAAACAATACAATTGATGCTAATGTTTTTTTAAATAAATGGTCATTTTTTCATTACAACATCATTATTCACGATAAACATTTTTAGAAGGATTTTGGATTTTTATAAAATGATCGTTAGTGATTGTACTTACCAACATCCGGATTGATTGGGATAGGATCAACAATTTCTTAGGTTTAGTAAGTAAATTGTACTTATTAAAAAGATACCAATGTTTTTTTAAAATATCAATAATTCATTTTCGTCTTGGTATCTCTTCAAAGTAATTAATTCAATTTAATAAGCGATATTAATAAGATATTCATACTAACAATATAATAAATATAATATATTAATACGGAATTTTTTTCCAAAACCGTGCGTTATACAATTATCTTTACTTTGTCACTTGCAGATTTTCAGATATAAGTATTCGCCATCTAGCTGTGGGTGTAGGCATTTTTGGACAATTTCAATCGAAATGTTAAAATTTTAGTATAGAATCGAATATTTTTTTTAATTTTTGCATTAAAAATAATCTATACGATTGCATTTTCATGCATTTTTAATCTTCAAACTAGATTTTACGTCAAATCTACATTCAACTTAAAGTTTTTTTTTAACCGTGCAGGTGTATCAAAGGAAGAAACCCGATGTTTCATTCATTGTAATTTCACAAGTCCTACTACGACCACAATACATATTACGGTAAGCGACGCAAACGACAAGTAGCAGTTTTATCACTCGTGATCGATTCCAAGGGCTCCGGCGACAGGAGAACTTTATTATTGTCTCAGCGCGCCGCAATAATAATATCCGCGAGCAAAAGCGCGCTCGCACGTGGACGAACGGACGTGGTGGCGTTGCGGAAATCAAGTACTCAAGGGGGCTGCTGCTGCTGCTGCGTGGGTTGATCGAGCGAAAGATCGCAATCTCTCGAGGATCTCGCGATCAAATCTCTGTACAATGGCCGCCGCCACACGTGCGCGCCCCCGCTAACGAGAATAATAATAAAAAACAAAAAACGAATGACTCGTAGAGGTGCGGTGGTTTCGTCGACGAGGTTGAAGAGCCGATTTCTTTTATTGTCGCGCAAGGTTGAGAAGAGAGCGAGCGAGCCGCTGGTGATTTTGTAGATCGCGAGCGATAACGCGCGCGACTACTACTCTATTTTTCTTCGAGAGGCTCGGGGGCGCGATAAAGATCAAAAAATTAAAATCGTGCAAAAGTCGAGTAGCACGGAGCTTGAAGATTTAACGGTTGTCCACCTGTATACGTGAATAGATTCGTGAATTTAACGAACCCCATCGAATAATAATAATTTTTGAACGTTGTTTTCGAGGCAAGAATGGCATTTTATTTCAATTATTACAAGTTCAAAGCTCGAGTACAACGATTTTAACAAAGAATCTAACTAAAATTATGAACGACGAGCCTCAAAGACAAAGGACGGATAATCAAATTTTAAAAACGCTTAGAAGCGTATCACGAAGGCACGGCATATTTTATACGCGCCAGCCAGGCGTACATCTCCGCAGCAGCTTTCTCGGTTATACTCAATGAAGTCGAAATTACTAAATTCGATCTCTCCCTTGATGTTGCCTTTGGTATCTCTATATGTGTGTGTGTGCGTCGTACTGCTGCTGCGGCGGGGGTCCACATCGACGAGGGATGCATTAAGCCCCTTGCGAGGGCCGCTTAATGAAAGCGTTTGGCCGCCTCCCTAAACCTATATACGTATGTATAATATGGTCTTCGTTCCCTCGGTACATAGAGCAGGATATAGATATACGTGCCGTATACGCGACGTGTAAAGCTTGTCCAGCCTGAGTGCAATATCTCTCTGCAAAGTGTATAGTGGCGAGCTGCTGCTGCTGCGCACGCCAAACGCTCTGGACCGTATTTTGCGAAATATACAGCCTCTACTATTAAAGTCGTTTTAAAAGCATCGCAGATCGGATATGCCAGCTTATGTGCCCGAGAGCGTCCTAATTATTCTCTTATCGCTTCGCTGCTACAGCCTGGAAGAGCGCGATAGAGAGAGATTTGAACTCTCTTCGTCGAGCTATTTTTTGGAGCCGATCTCATCGCTCAAAAAAAAAAAAAACCGAGCATCCTCTCCACGGCGCATTAATCCCGAGCCCTGAAAAAGATCGGGCGGATAAAAGAGAGCGATAAGACGACGACGACGGCGCGAATACACACAAAAAGCGCGAGACTGCTGCTGCAGGTGAATATTTGAAGGCGCAGTTTTATACATATAGTTGCAAGTTTACGAGGTTGGAAGCGCGCGAGCACGAGGCGCCTCTGCGTAGGCCAATTAATCTCCGAGAGACGATCTTTCGACGCGAGGTAATGAGTGCGCCACGCGTATAGTACCATAATAATAAACCTTTCGGGCGATAATGTACGTCAACGAGCGCCAGACGGTTGAACGACGACGACGACAACAACGAAAAAAGAAAATCCGACATGTGTCATTGTTCAGCTGCGGCAGCAATTGAAAATCAGTCACTGGCATAAATTAACAGTCTTTCTCTCTCTCGCAGGACCTTCAAAGCTCTCAGCGATTCGCCAAATGTCTCTCCCTCGGTATACGACGCGTGCTTGGCAGTACCCAAAAGTTCACGGAGCCGCTGCACACCCAACTCGGCGTTATATATGCTTACATGTATAATGTACGTACGCGCGGGCTACGCTCGAAGATGGAGTTGCGAAATACATATATTGTCACGGGGCTGCTTTGCGGTGTCATATCTGTGTGTGTGGTACACGCCGTATATAATACGCCCCCTTGCGTTCGTCAGTAAGCCAAAAGAGACGAGAATAGAGAGAGAGAGAGAGATGGCGGCTCGACGGATCCCTGTGCACTCATAATTGCTCTTCATGCACCCCTTTCGATATGAACGCGTCGGCGACGTCATCGTCGTAGTCGTCGTAGTCGTCATCGTCGTGCTACAGAGCAGTCGGCCCCCAGTGTTCTCGTATCATCGTCGTGGGTGCCTCGCCCCTCGCATTGTACGATATTATACGTACACATACATACGTGAGCGTGAGTGCAGAGCACACACGTGCAACAGTAGTAGTGGTACATACGCCATTTTCATGTCAGGCTGGGGGGGGCATATAGGGGGCAGCGGGGGGAAGGGGAAGGGGGACACAAAGAAACCACGCGGGGATAGGCTCTCGCCTGAGTGGCAATAATTGATTGAGATGATGGCGTATATGTAGCTGAAACGGAGTATCTCGAGTGATGAAGTATGTAGCAGCAGCCAGAGCAAGAGAGAGAGAGATACGTACGAGCACGACGAGGGGTGTTTGTGTGCGAGAGATGCGAGAGTTCGCCAAATGCGTATATATTCCTCGGAGCTCCTTTTATGATATAACATGTACGGATATGGCATGAGACAAGCACGATGGACGGACCCCCTCGTGCTTAGGTCTCCTACGCGGTCTCCTTGTGCGTCGTCTTTTTTTCCTTATGCGGCGGCAGAGCTCTCGAAAAGGACTATATTATGGCCGCTGATACGGCACTAATACGCTTTTGGATGAAACTTTTGAAAAATTGGCAGAGATAGAGAGCAGAAAATTAATGCTTACGCTACGTGATGCATTTTACTGCGCTTCTACTTGTAACGATGTATCGCATGAAAATGCGAGAGCTTTTACACATTTCACGGGTATCGCGCGTCCACGCATCAAGTTGGAGAAAATTTTTTTTTGCATAAAAATCCTAACAGCAGCAGCTGCTCGAGCGCAAAAAATTATTCATCGCGTCGTATAGCGCGCTCACATTGTAAAAGCGGAGAGAGAGATGCGCGCGATGCGAATGGCACGTGCGTCGAAGCTTCGCGAAATAAAATAATAAAAAAAAAAAAAAACAAACCACACACGTCAAAAGGTTATCCCCGGTTGTTGTTGTTGTTGTACAGCGCGAGAGCTCGCTCAACTTTTGACGTGTGCGTATATTTTTATATAAGCTGGTCGGCGCGGGTGTATACTACTAGTCCTCGGGTGAGTTTTGAAAAGAGCGATTATAAAGCCCCGAGCGAGCGAGCTCGGTGGCGGCTCAACTAGGCCCTGTGCGCCAGTTTAGTGGAGCGCGTCTAGATACCGATCTGACCAATTGTAATAATAGCCACTTATGGCAGCAGTCGTCATCCCCCCGCGTGCGCGCCTTTCGATATATGTATTTTAGGCGTAGACGTAGAGAGGAGAGCTGAC